GCAATACTTTCTATGTGTTGTTACATAAATCACACAAGAATTAAGCGTGTCTGTGCAACTGTACTTGAAGTGGACACCTGCAAGTTTGTGCCTGGTTTCTTCCCTACTTTTCCCGTTGTGCCTTTCCTCTTGGTTAATTTTATTTTACGTTCTTTCATCGTATGAAATGAAAAATGTTTTGAGTCAACTTGACTGTGCCATGGGATACAGATTAAACATTTCTGGATGTGTCTGTGAGCCAAGGATGTTCCTAGATGACATTAACATTTGAATGAGTGGACTAAAAAAAGGACATTGACCTTACCAATGTGGGTGGGCACCATCCAATTCATTGAGGGTCTGAATAGAACAAAGAAGCAGAAGAAGGAAGAATTTGCCCTTTTGTTTTCTGTTTGCCTGCTTGAGATGAAACTTAGTCATCCCCTGCTCTTGAACTAAACTGATATTTTTACTATTGGTTCCTCCTTGTTCCAAGGCCTTCAAACTGAAACTAAAATTATGGCACCAGCTTTCCTCGGTCTCCAGCTTGCAGATAGCAGATTATGAGATTTCTCAGCCTTCATGGTTGCATGAGCCAATTTCTCATGATAAATATATTCATATATGTATATAGAATATTTACTGAATATATTATATATTCACACATATATAGGGATATATTATACATCTATCCTACTAAGTTTGTTTCTGTCTCTGGAGAACCCTGGTTAATACACAATAATAAAAAGTAACCATCAATGTAAGGATTTTTCTAGGCCCTGTGAGTACTTCTAGTAAATCATCAATTCTGAGATGGTCTTAAAAATTCTGACACAGATTTTAATGGAAAAAGGGAGATAATATGAAAAATCAAATGGGTACTATCCACCTAGAGGTGAAAACTACATGAGAAAATCAAAAGAATTTCTAGAAATAAAACTAAGGTAACGGAAGTAAAGGATGTCTTTGACAGGTCCGTCAGCGGACCTGATACAAATGAGAAAAGAATCAGGGAACTTGAATATAGGCCAAAAAAACTTTCCAAATGGAAACACAAGGAGAAAGAAAAAGGAACTCAAATATTGAAAAATACATCCAAGATATCTGAAACAATATACAAAGTTGTGATTTTTTTTGAAATCAGGATACCAGAAGTAGAAGAAAGAGAAAAGTATTTGAAGGAATGAATGAGCAAAGTGCAAATGAGTTTTCAAAAGTGGAACAGACCTGAAATTTTCCGTATTTCTTAAAGTTTGAAAATAATATAAAAAAAGACAATAAGATAGTACCAATGCCTTCATCTCTAGAAGAATGTAAAGGATATTCATATCACTGAGTATAACTATTTTCATATGTTTTTGCATATATGAACTAACTTTAATATGAAAAATGTGTTTTTTAATGCTTAGAGACTTTCTTTCACATGTCCTCTCCTACATTAACAACTTTCATGCAAATTATCCTACAATTTGAAAACTTAATTTACATTAAAAATAGGACATAGACTGACATGGAAATACAGACAACAACAACAAAACAGAGACTAAGTTTTTCACAACCTAACACTGGTCTCTTGATTCTAAGACCTATAACTTAAATATTTTTACATCATTAGTACTTGGTTCAGAGTTTACAAAATGGCTTAAACATTCAAAAACACTAAGGAAAATAAATAGTGAAATACCTTTCTATGTCAGAGTTTAAATAAAATAAAAGTTTTGGGTTCTAGGAACCTACTTCCAGTTCCACTAGTTTTCAAGTCATTAATCTTACCCATAAATGTGTAGATAAATTTTAGATGTGAGTATAATGATATATTGTGCCTGAGTTGTTTCATATGAGGATTTGGTGACACAGCAAAAATTTGATAAATGTTGGTAAACTGTTTCAAAAAAAAATCTACTTCTCAAGCAGTATTGTTCCTTTGTAGATTAGTTCAATAGAACTCAAGAATCAAAATTAAGAAAAAAAAGCATAACCTTGGAATTAAATAATCTTTCTTTAGTAAAAGTATAATATTTTACGTCCAAATACCAACTTATATGTCAGTAAAAAAACTACTGTTAACAGTCCTTCTTTCTAATATTTTTGTTACGTTACTTGGATAGATAAGATTTCTTCATAATTCTAAAGTGTAATGAAATTGATTTTATAGATGAATGTACTGGGTGTGTATGAGTAAGTAGTAAGCACAGAAAGATGACTTGTTAGAAACAGCGAGGAAGGAAAGATATTCACAAGACAGAGAATGGCATGCATACAGCCATACAGCAGAAAAAAGAGAATATGGAAAAGAGTAAAGTTTTAGTAAATGTTGACCTATTAAGGATGGAAAGCATAACTAAATATATTTTAAACTTTCGAAAAAAGTACCAATGCAGTGTAAAGCATAAAAAGCCTACAATAACTTTTAGATACTATATTCTACACTATAGTGTGGAAACACTACTAATACAGACTGGGAACAGTTTTGGCTTATCTGTACAGTTCAAAAATCATTAGCAGCTTAATAGATTAGTACCCAAATTCAGTGAATATCTGTGTGGGCATGCATGTTATTCCAATATCTAAGTGTGTTTGTGTATGTGTGGGTATTTGTTTAAAGGTGTATTGGACTTTTAGAATAATCTAAGCCCTTATAAATTCGGGTCATATATATAATATGCATATGTTTTGTTTCGCTTTTTCACTTGACACTATAATACTTTATTTTATAAAATTATTTTAAATCTTCATTTCCAAACCTCCTTCTTTATAGTTCATCATACAGATATATACTACTATATTTAACAATTTCTTACTTTGAAATATTTACTTTATTTTCCCTTTTATTTTGTTAATTACTATGCAGCAAATGTCATTGCATACACCAATAAACCATATTTTTTTCCTTCCTGTCAGGAAGAAAACTCCTAGAAATGAAAATACCGGGTCAAGTGTATAACTACTTTAAAGACTTATCATGGAAAAGTTGCTTTCTAAATGCATTGCTATTTTATGGGACGGTGTTTTAAACAGAAATGATCTGTGCTTCAAAGAAAAAGCATAGTGCAATGTTTTCTAAAATAGTAGATTCTGGGGCTAGATAATGGTAATGTCACATGGGAAAGTCAGTGATTCTTTTCAGTCCATCTCACATGTGCATAAAGGCAGGAGAATTACAGAGCCAACTGTTTGGATAGTAAGACAAGATAATAATTCTCCTCATTTTAACCAATTCTGAGGTCTTGAGCTTTCTGCATAAAACCTTCCTTGACCTTTACACACATCATTACAAATGTGCATTGAATCATTTCTTGATGCCTTATAGTGATTGTAGTTTATGGGATTTTCTACTTTTTTTTCTATGTATTCTACATTTTTTTTTTCAGTTACTTTCTGGCAAATGCTGGTGGAATGTGAATTTCTTTATGAATATTATGAGAGAATAATTTTACCTGTTTTAAAGAATTCAAAAGAAATCTACCTTTTGAAAATTGAATATCTGTGTATACAAAATATCTATAATAATCTCACAAATTCCACATTAAAAGGAAGTTTCTGAATATTCCAATTACTCTTCAGTTTATTTAAGTATTTATATTGTCTAGTTTTGAAGAGAATTTGGCAAGTTAAAGCTTTTGCAAACAAAAGCAAATAGGCTGACTGAAAATTGCAAAGGGGTTGAAGAGACACTTCTCAAAAGAAGACATACAAGTGACCAGACAAGTGGAATCTAAACATTGAGTACAATGGACATAAAGATGGAAACAGTAGACATGGTGGACTATTATGGGGAGGAGGGAGAGAAGAAGAAAAGAGAATGTGCATTGAAAAACTACCCATCAGGCCTTATGCTTACTACCTGAGTAATGGAATCTGTTCCCTAAACCTCAGCACCATGCAATATACGCATATAACAAACCTGCATGTGTATCCCCTGTATCTAAGAGAAAAAAGTTGAAATTAAAAACATTAAATGTAAAAAAACACAAAAAAACAAAAAAAAAAAAGAAAACACAGGAAAAATGAAACGATGATAGTGATTATACATTTGTGGGGGCAAGAAAAAACTACTACCAACATTTTATATTGCATATACATAGAAATCCAACTAGTTATATGCCTTATTCAAGTAATACTTTTTATTGAGTGCTGCAGTTTTTATTTGAATGTATCCTCTCTAACTGGGATACTTGCAACTGGAATAATGAAAATGAGACTATTGTATCCAAATTTCTATTGCCTTTGTTCCTCCTTTACTATTCTTCAATAAATTATCCACATTACAGCCAGAATAATTGTTTAGAAGTCGTGTTCGATCATATGATTCTTCTTATTTAAACCCTTACATGACTATCCAAAGCACTAAGGGGAAGTACAATCATGTTAATATTGCTTACAAAACCAGAGCAACAGGACTCTTTCTATTGTCCATGTCTCTTTTCTCATTGCCAGGTAATTATTTTTACCCCTGCCCACACAACCCACTCTACCACCATGCTACTCCTTATCCAGAAATGTATTCATTGCATTTAATTATTAATTTTTTCAAGATGTTTGTTTATAGTGCCATTTTCTGGCAAATAATTTATGTCAGGAGTCCTTAACACTCTATCTTTATTTGACTACATTCTACTCAACTTTTAGTGTTTGCCATAGACATCAGTTTTGCTGGGAAAAATCAAGCTGATTTTTACAAATCTGGAGTGAAATCCTTTTCTATTAGGACAAAACTATTCATACTCTATCATAGTGCTGATCACAGTATATTGAAATTGCATGTTACAGTGTATAAGCTGCTAGACTGTAAATTCTCTTAATGCCAGACAGCATCTGCAACAACAATTCACTACTTCACCCCATGTCCTAATGATGTTTGGTGTTATTAGCATTGTACAAATATTTGCTTAGTGAACAAACAAGTTAGAGAAGGCATTTTTTAGGTTTTAATTATTTATTTATTTATTTTGAGACAGAGTCTTGCTCTGTCGCCAGGCGCCAGGCTGAAGTACAGTGGCACGATCTCGGCTCACTGCAACCTCCGCCTCCCAGGTTCAAGCAATTCCACTGCCTCAGCCTCCCAGGTAGCTGGGACAACAGGCACGCACCACCATGCCCAGCTAATTTTTTTTTATATTTTTAGTAGAGACGGGGTTTCACCGTGTTGTCCAGGATGGTCTAGAAATCTTGACCTCGTGATCTGCGTGCCTCGGCCTACCAAAGTGCTGGGATTGCAGGACTGAGCCACCATGCCTGGCCTTTTGGGTTCTTCAATTTGGAAATTCATAAGAATAAACCAATAAAAAAAGAGGGAATTCTTCCCAAATCATTTTATGAGACCAACATCATCCTGATTCCAAAACCTGGCAGAGACTCAACAAGAAAAGAAAACTTCAGGCCAATATCCATGATGAACATAGATGCAAAAATCTTCAATAAAATACTGACAAGCCGATTGCAACAGCACATCAAAAAGCTTATCCACCATGATCAAGTAGGCTTCATCCCGGAGATGCAAGGCTGGTTCAACATACGCAAGTCTATAAACGTAATTCACCACATAAACAGAACCAAAGACAAAAACCACATGATTATCTCAATTGATGCAGAGAAGGCCTTTGACAAAATTCAACAGCCCTTTATGCTAAAAACCCTCAATAAGCTAGGT